TTTCATTGAATAAGTCAATTTATAAAAAGGGTCAGCTCATAATCATTTGATTTAATTCATGTTGAATCTAGCATGATATTCTATAAAAAGCAACACTGCGTAAGAGAAATAGGTCCTTTTGCTCATTAAGGTGAATTTGTTGGTTTTGGTCCAGTTGAGGTTTTCTTACCGTAATACAGTTTGCTGATTAGGACAACTTCATTTTTTAATCCACATGGAATAAAACTACTTTGTTTTATCCTTTTTTTCATCGGAGTCGTGTGGAAGTTTTTTCCTTTTCAAGTGACAAGTTAAGATAAGGCAATCATGTCTGTGTTCAGGTCTTAATAATAATCTAAACTTTATAAATAACAATTTAATTTTCTTCACGGAAATGAACAAAATGCTGAGATATAGGCCTACTGTATATATATTTTAAGTTTTCTTATTTAAAATCAAGAAGGCCTCGCGACCCCCTGTGAACCGTCGGCATCCCCTATGGGTTGGGAACCACTGTGTTACACCAGTGCCTGTGATATATGATCTACCTACACCAGCTAAAACTGGCATTCAGACAATATATTCTGAGCAAGTGACAATACTTCGAATGATGTATTGCTTTTTGTTGTCACAATTCAGACATTCAGTCCATCCATCTCCAATCCCTTATGGAAATAATACATCACTTTGCTCCACATCTATCTATTGTGATTCAGTAGGGTAAAAATAACCTGTGTGGAGAGGAGGGAGTTTAATAATTGATTCCCTCTACTGGGATGCTCCCTTTTATTGGAATCCCCTCTCATGACCCCACATCGGGGAAACCACAGCTCTCTCCTGGGACTCAGTACAATCCATATCTGGGCCATGCTAGAAACAGATTCAACACCCATTTATTCCTGTTTTGCAGATACTGTTTTCACCATTCTTGTTGTGTGGGAATGTCAGTGCCAATAGATGGAAAAGTGACCAGTAAAAATAATATTTCATCATCACATTATTGACAAAGAACACGTTATAAGGTCATGAGATTATTAGATGTGTCAGAAAAACAAGCAAAGCCCTTACTATGAACGTTAATAATGAATCAATGATCTGTTAATGACCATTTCAATTATATATTTCATCAGGTTCGATCAGGTTCCTCAGGCTCCTCCTAGTGCTCCTAATGGCATTTGTAAGGTTCTACTGGGCCTGAACAAAAATAGACCTTACCTACAAGAACTTTAAATTCTCTCAAGTCAACAAGGAGCATTTTATTTAATTTATGATTCAAACACCTTAAATTGACTTGGGTTGTTCTGTGGAAATTGCACATAAGTTGTTTAAAAAAAACCTTAATCAAGAAAATTGATGTATTTTATAAAATTTGGATGAGTAATTAATGATCCATCCTCAACTTTAGGTACAGACTTTCACTTCTGGTTGAGCACTCCGTCTATAATTCAAGGACAATCCTCTTTATTTATGTTGAATGTTTTCTGCAAAATGTACATACAACAGTAAACAGTCAGTGAATTAATTCTTTCCTCCTTACTTAAGTGAAAATGCAGAATATAAAATCAGAGCATGTATCTGTTGCACCACAACAGTAACAAAATGATTTGCCATCATGTGTGAAGGACATTGATTCAGGTAGTAGCCACAATAGCTACCAAAGCCAATGATGCACGACATTTCAGGGCTTTGAAGAGAGGGAGTGTGTGTGTTACATTTTGCACTACTTAATAATTCAGCATTAATGATTTACTTTGTCAGGAGATTAAGACTCCTCACTAATCAGGGCTTTCCCAGGGGAGGGAGCTCTACACTCAATGCCACGAAAAACTATTTTCTAACTTGAACCTGAATTAATTTACAGCTCATTATTTTTCCTTATTCAAGTTTAATAAAACAATATTATTTTTATAGAACACATTATTTTAAGTGAATATATACGGTCTTGTTTGTCACTCTATAGGTCAGACTCTGGCTTTTTCTCATCACAGCCCCAAAAAACCTGAAAGAGTGATATGGATTAACTTCTTTGCTAACACAATTTCCAATATTAGTCTGGCATTCTCAAAGCACTGTAGTTTTTATGTTACTCAAACAGGAGGAAATATTGAGATTTTTTTCTATCACAAATGTTTTGTGCTGGTTAGGGTGTACTTGGCTGAAAATATATTTCAAAAGTGGGTACATTCATAAAAAGTTTGAGAACCACTGCTCTGGTAAGTGTTCGGGGGAAGCAGCTTTTTTTTAGTTTAACCGATTTAACACAGGAAACTGTTTAACGGTTGCAAAATCTAAACCAAAAACTTTAATTAAATGCCTCCTAGAAAACATAATCCAACCTAAAATTGGTTGTCCTTGAGTCTACGTACGTGCATACAGATTCAGTATTACAGGGCTGAAATGGAGTACGAGTTGATACTCTATTGAACCTTCTTACTTTGTTACAGTACATAAAGGAATATAGTATGTTGCCTTAAAACTAAAACAAATCTTTTTTCTCAAAGTGTAAATCATTGTAAGTTTATAAGATTAATATCTGTTCATCTTTTAGGGCGAAAGTTTTAAAGTTTGTAAACTGAAGTTCGTTTTTGTATTATATTTTCTAATCCGTTGACATGACCTCAATTTTCACTAATATGCTGACGACACAACTCTATATACAAAAAAAGCCTTTGGACACCACCATAAAACCTGAGAGACTGCTTAAATTATATTAATGTTTCTGCAACTACCTGAAACTTAAAATCAGGATAAATCTTCCCCACCCACACTTCGCAAAGTCTCCCATCTAAATCACAAACTGATTCACACCATTATTACATCCCAACAAGAATACTTATATGCTGTTCTCCTCTGTGTGCAAAATTGGGGCTTCAAAAAGACTATAGTATGTTCAGAATTCAGCTGTGAGAGTTCTCTGTGACACCTGGGAGCACACCTTCAGTGTGGCTGGCTCTAACATCTGGAATTCTCTACCTCACCCCCAAATTCCTCAGGACACAGCCATGGTGCGTTTCTATTTGCAAAACTGATTTTGTCTACATTGTTGCTTTGTTTCTTTCATGGGACCTCACAGTTAACTTCACATCACTGTCACATATATACACTGGACACAAATGTCGAATGTGTAGCTTCCTAATTGACATTTAAAGCTCTACATATCAATTCATGCTGCAGCTTCTTTTGTTATTGACTGAGGATTGGGATTGGTTCAATCAATGCCTCAACCCAGTGTTGGTGGTGTTCACAGTTATTGACTACACAATGATGGGCGGAGGGGTGAAGAGCAGCTTTGATCAATATGAGGGATGTGAAAGGCTCTTTGGCCTCTTCTTGTACCTGACCCCATGTTGGGTCTCTTCCCTGAACCCCCTGTAGGAGCATTGATTCCCTCTATTGAAAGAATGGAGATAACAAAAGTATCCCCCTCCTGTCTGCCTTGAGTGATTTCACATTAAAAGGTTTAGTTTGAAATGGATCAGCACAGAGAAGCAAGCAAATCTGTAAATAAACAACACTGTTCTCTTTTCTTTCAACCCTCTGGGATTGACATTGGCCTCAACAGGCAGCAGAGCTCATTGTGCCCATTTGCAGACTCTGAAAGTAAATTCCTCTTTTAATTTTCCTCATAAATACTTCATCTTTCTTTACTTTAAAGCTTTGAATCAAACAAAACAACTTTGAGATGAATAATGAGCTCTTGACAATAGATTCAGAGAAAAAACTGTTTGTGACAAAGAAAAAGATAATGAAAAGGCTGCGTATATACTGTTTTTTAATGAGTGAACTGCTTGTCTAGTGACATGCTCGATACACTTTCAGCAGTAAAACTACATCAGCTTTATCAATGTATGTCTATCAGCAGGATATTTCAAAACTCTAAGAGTGGATGAACCAGTGGTGATAGGTTGACCTTTGATAAAGAAACAATTATTTACATTTGAGCAGTGATTTATAATTTTGATTCCTGCCTCTCTATCTCTTTTATCCACGATTGTGAAACTAACAGAGATGGAGACTTGTTGGAGCAGTTGGGGTTTAATTACCTTGCTTAAAGGCAGTGTGGAAATGGGGGAGAGGCAAGCTGTGATCATTTATTTCCCCTGACCCATAAAATCTTTTGAGGACTGCAGGATTTCAGAGTAAACTAATGAAGAAATTTAAGAAGATGCTGATTGTTTCTGCGTGTGTTCACACCTGTTTCATAAAGTTTGATGGGTCACGTGGATTACAACATTTATGTCAGCAGACCATTGTATTTAATATAGCCACAAATAGCTACCAGAAGCTAAGAGACGACAATATCACAAAATCACACAAGAATCCATCTTGCCAGTCTTCAAGCTATGTGCTTGTGTTCACAGTGGTCAGAACAATCAGCGTCTTATGAGGAACTACTGGCAGCTACAGAGGAGTGAGTACACCATTATCTATATCTGTATCTGTTCGACCAACTGAATGGTCTGCAGTTGTATCTGTACTCAGAATGGGCGGGGATTAAACTATTCATGGGTGGTGTTTAAACTGAAAAAAAGTGGGTGGGCTAGCCAGAAGTTGTTCATTTAAGCCTGAAATTGATAGGGATTTAAGTTGTTATATTTTCTGAACTTGTTACTAGGAATGTCAATGCTAACAAGTCTGAAAAATCTTCAAAAGGTTTAAAAGAAAGTTGATGGCTATCCTTTTCACTGACAATGATAAAATTGATTGACTTTACAGCTGGAATGATATTTAGGGTAGAATTTTTCAACATTTACTTTATTTTCTCTAGTTTTCAGTGGGGACGCAGAAAGATACATTTGTTGTTTGTTTGATACTGCTGATTTACTGTCTAACAATTTGATGAGAGTCATCCAGTCCAAATGCTTTTATGGTAATCAGCTTTGACTGGAGCCTTCGAAACCTAGTGGGTATGAGTCAGCAGGCCAAAATAAGAGGAGGCTTGATTGAAGTCATTCCCTGGTATAACAAAGGGAAGAGACAGCGGTGCTGTAGAGGGAAAAGGCGGAGATGTTCCCACTTACACATCAAAGCGAAGGTTCTGCTTCTCTTCAAAGAAGAAATCAAGGACGAACTTCCTCACAAAGTCGGGGTTCAGCGTGTTATCGATTACTTCTGTCCGACCAAACTGAAGGAAAGAGAAACAAAGAGCAAGACAAAGTCAACACCATGCTGATCAATCTGTACGTTTAGTCAGAGGGAACAGCAACAAACACTGTAGGAGGGTAATTCCTGTAGTGTTTTTGTGGGTTTACAAGTTCTTAACCATGCAGCAAACATTTGAAAGAAAGTGACAGACTGTAAATGTATAAGTCGTAACCTGATCAAGGCAATGCTCAAACTATTAGATTAGTCATTTAATTTTTTTGGGGGCGGGGTTTCCTTTTTAAAAAATAAAAAAATTTAATTAATATGTCATTATATCAAGATAACAAATGATGACTTCTTTGAGCCAATTCATCCTGATCATTTGTTGAAGGAATACGGTAGAACTGACAAAGACTGGATATTACCCTTGATCAACATAATTATTTGATAAAAGGTATAATGGGCTGAAATTAGAAAAGTATTAGTGTCACAGGGGCCACTATAGATTGTGAAATATATATATACAGTACATACATATATGCATAATTTCATATACATAATACCTGAACAAAAATATTTTTGAATAAAAGAATGTATCCGTACAATAATTCTCAGTGGCAATAATTCAAATCTGGTCAGTCCAAACGGCAACCTGCACGGCTGAAAAATAAAGCCAGTGCAGAAGTTCCAAAAATTGTGAGGCCGGCTACAGATGTGAGTCAATCTCCATAAGCCCCCATATTAAAATCCCCAACTTTACAGCAGAAATAAACATATTTACAGCCTGGTAGAAAAAACACTTTTGTTCTCTAAAGTTATTTACCCTGTTCATGACAACTGTATAGCGATGCATTTTTATGCACCATACTGAATGTTCTTTTTGCACTGTTCAAATATATCTTTATCTTTTAATATATCTTTTTGCACCGTCAATGTTCAAACATATCTTACAGAATTTTAAATAATTTTTTTGCTGCCATTACCAACTGCCTTTTTTTTGCACTACCATAAGTATTGTTGCACACCATAAGTATTGTATATTGTAAATGTTATTGTTTATTGTTTATTTTATCTTTTTTTCATCTTTTTAGCATTAGTAAATGTCTTCTCTGTTGTGAAATTGAATGTTTACTTTTTAGTATTAGGAATATGTCTTGTCTGTTGTGCCTGTGCACTTTATCTGTTTCACTGTGGGAGAGTGAGAAGCGTCCTCTCGATTACTTTATATGTCTGGTGCATGTGAAGTAATTGACAATAAAGCTGACTTTGACTTTGACTTTGATATCAAAGGTATAGGTCACTGCAGCTTTAAATGTTCCTCATACAAACTCTGAACTAGGGAATACCAATTTCTAAGGATCTGACTACTGAAGTCAGAGACACACATTCCACTGGGAGACTTTAAAGTTCTACTTGCTGACGTTTGTAATAATATTTGTAATGGTTTTAATTAGTGTGTGTGTGTGTGTGTGTGTGTGTGTGTGTGTGTGTGTGTGTGAGAGAGAGAGAGAGAGAGATTACGACTTTGTGTGACACAGAACTTTAAAAGAGATCTTGATCTTAATGAGACTTCATGAATAAATAAAGCTTAACTCTTACTATTTCTGTACTAATACTGTGAACCTGTTCCAGCTGAAGTTAACAATTGCTTTGGTGTTTTCGTACCTTTGTGTTCAATTTGCTCTTGTCTTTTGCTGTTCATAACAGTGTGCTTACCATTTAATGTTAATGTTGCCCCAAGTTAGCGAGGAGAAGTTGGACAGGTTAACATCAAAGTACACTAAAGTTCCTATCCTGATTTCATAAAACTATGCAGGTACTGCTGGTAGTCAACTATATTTCATAGATTATTGTGCAGAGTTTAGACTTTGTTGGGCATCAAAATATGTATTTGCAGGTAGCTTTAACTTGGATTTATAATCTCAGTTAAAAGTGCTGGTCGCCTTCCATGGAGTCTGTCATGTTTCTAAAAAAGCCCAGAATGGACAAACTACGTGTTGGCTTTTTTAGGGCCTATTGAGTTTTTCGTGAGTTTCGTGGCTACTGTAGTTTCTTCTTCTACAATCCATTCTCATTCCCTGGTCATCAATTACAGATACAAGTGGTGTTCAGTTAGTAGCAACCTGAAACTTCATTGCTAAATGCCATTAAATACTCATAGCAACTGAATATAAAAGTATCATCTTGAGATTGTAAAATAAACAATATATGAAAGAGGATATTTATCTGATTTAGCAGAATCCTTGACTGCTCAAACTGAACGTATTGGTATAATTCACACATTGTTACTTTTGACACCTATTTTGGAATGCATTATATGATATTCTATAGCATCTTTGAGAGTAGGACAGTCATTTGTTAACATATCCTGTCATTCTGTGATGAACATAGCATCCTCTCACATAGGTGAATCCCCCGTTGATTGCTGTAGCCTCCAATCACACACTCATTCCTCCACTCACAAGACAATCATGCTCTCTGACAGGTGACAGTGATGAGCTATCGATCTGGCAAATACCTATAACCCCTGGTGCCAACCCCAGCCCTGTTCCTGCTCTCTTCCATCAGTCAAACTCCATAGGGTACAGACAAGAGAATCTTCTCCATCAGGTATTAATTTCTTTGGTTGGCTTTCAGTCAAAGGTCCTAACACTTTCTCAGCAGCCGCTGCAGCTTTCAGAGTTAGACAGACTGTCACAAGAGGCAAAGGCATGATGTCAATAGATGCAATCAATCACTAAAATTGTAACAAATTTATTAAGCCTCATGTTTTAATCATAGTGTACTGTACCAATAATGATGAGTTTTTTGTTGTTTATTACAAGGCAGCCGCAGGTGAGTTTAGCATTATAGTTATTATAATTGTCTGATTGAAGATAAGATACAGCTGTGTACTACACAGTTTCAAATCACGTGCTGATAAAAGCCAGTGGAGAGATAATGAATGGTTTGCACTAGAGGCGCACTCTGGCTGTTTGAGGGGCAGGGCGGGAAAAAAAAGCACAAGCACACACAAAGTTGTGTTGCATTTACAGGTTAGTCAGAATTAGGATTAGAACTCTAGAGGGCACTATATTGTGTTTTATCTACAATAGGGGGATCCAAGAGGGCACTTAGGATGCATTTCTTTTAACATGGGGCATCAGGAGTAAACATTGAGATATGGTTTATTCAGATGACATATCACCACACCAGTATGTTAATGCCAGGTGGAAACACCCACATACTGTATTGTACAGTAAAGACAATGAGAAAGCCTCCTCTCTGTCACAATAACAGTTCTGGGGCAAGCTGAAGTGGCTTGTTGCTTACATGGACAGAAACCTAAAGACTTCCTGCCACCGCCGCTCTGCTGACAGCTGCCAAAACACCCAGCAGTGAAGCCCCACTGATCCTTAAAACAGAACCTTTTGTTTCATATTTTCCTTATTAACTGTTTTCCGTGGCTTCACAGTGGAAGGGCCCTGACATGCCCGAAGGGACGGGACAGACAGAGGCTCATCGTATTCCCGCTGGGTTTAAGAGCCTGGAGTGGGTGAAGGGGGGCAAACCTCTTTTGGCTCACTGTTGCATCACCATCTTTTGATCAAGCAGTGACAGCAGCATGCGGGAAGACCACACTGCCTGCTGCCCATAAATACAAATATAAAACAAGAACTCCTGCAGAGGAGTACATTGTTCAGAAATGGTGCCAAAAAGCTGTCACTGTTGTTTTTGGCTTTTGTTTTGTTTTGTTTCATACTTTGAAAGAGGAAAGCAGAAAGCAGGGAAAAACAAGAGACAATAAATAAAATACATAAGCGTAAAATAAACATAGATTTGATTGTATAACTTTTTACCCTGATCAAATTTTGCATTAAAATAAAAAACAGCAAAGACAGTCAGATAAGGTCGACAGAAGAAGTTTGAACATTTTGCAGTTTTCAATGTTCCTTTATCAAAGAAAACATTTTGAAATCTTTAACATATACTATATACTATACAACATGTATAGTAATAAATAATATTAATAATGGCTAAACTTCATGAACATATGTGACAGAGTGCATGTATTGTTCATGCTGGCCCACTAGGGCTTGTTGGGACCCAGCCATTGTTAAGGTTATTAGCAACACCAGTGCTTCTCCTACTGTGACTAGTCACACCATGAGCAATGTCTTTAGTGAGCTATGATTGTGGCCCAGGACACAACACATTAACTCTAGCTGATTGGTCTGCAAAAGATAGCAATTTGATGTTTCTACACACGGTAGATTGGTTATAATAAGACTTATATTTAGCCTGAGAGGTAAAGTCCAAGGCAAAACAAAACTAAAAAGCACTTGCAGCGCCACTCTCGCTGTCACACACTGATAGCATGGTGTAATAAAAATAGCTAATATGAAAATACAAAACACTCAACAAACCTTCAGCACTGACCGTATAAACTGTCATTTTCAAAGGAAATGAGAAATGCTGAACTGCACAGGAGAAGAGAACCATCCGTTTTTCATGCTTACTGCAGTATTCCTACACAGGGTCATGGGTGACTGGAGCGTATCCCAGCAATTTAGAGCTCCCCTCTCCCCTGATATGCATGTCTTTGGTCTTAGGGATGAAACTGGAGCACCCACGGGAAATCCGGTGCCAGGATTTAAAGCCAGCACCTTCTTTCTGTGCAGCAAATGCTCACTACTGTGACATCCAAACGGTGCAGTCTGCGGTTCTTACCTTCAGGCAGCAATATGTGCGTTATTAAATGAAGCTATGCTGAAGATAGGGTCCTCCTTTGAGGCCAGAATGTGTGCATACAGTCGGTTTTGATCTGTGCAAGGGAAGTGGAGCTCTTCTAAGCATTGGTGAGATCTACAGTTAGCACAGATTGGTTCAGTAGGGCAGGAAGGGCAGCACAGAGGCTAATGAGCAGGACTGTGGCCTTGGATGTAGGACCATTCAACAGGAAGACCCCAGAGGGATCATTGAAGAGGAATATATGAGCTGCTTTTTCTGCTACTATTCTCCTTTGTCTGTTTTACAAACCACACAGCACTGTGGGGAGTT